TATATTGTGAGCCATTATATTTCTGTTCATGTGCTTTGCTTGAATTTTGTAAATAGTGTGAATGGTCTAATATTATGAGTCTGATTGTTTTTTTTTCAAAAACATTTTTTAAAGTAGTTTTTTTTTCTTTTAGTTTTCACAAAACTGTTTGATAGATGGAATGGTTAATTGTTCAACTAAATTTCTTTCTCAGACTTACTGTAACTACAAGTTTTACACTGAGGACAAGCCAACAAAGACAAAGGAAGTGAAAGGAACAATCAACCCAGATTACGACCATGAAAGACAAATCAGTTTCAAGTCTGTCACGAATCAGGTAATAAACTTTTATGGTTGATAGTGGGCCAGACAGAGGCAGAGAGAGAGAGGGAGAGAGAGAGGGAGAGGGAGAGGGGGGAGAGAGAGAGAGAGAGGGAGAGGGAGGGAGGGAAGGAGGGACGAAGGGACAGACGGACAGGCGGGCAGGCAGCCAGGCAGGCAGGCAGGCAGGCAGGCAGAGAAAGAGCAGTATGCTTTCCTTTTCAGGTGCTACGGATCTACTCAAGTAATAAAATAAATCAAATTCTTCAAGCCTTCAAGTCTTTTAGAAAGTATGAGAATTTTTCCGTAATGGACTGCATCATGAGTGATCTTTCTTTGCTTATCATATAATATATACCTCTTCAAAATGGTGTTCTTATTGGGACACAGTTTTAGCTTTTGGAAAAAAAAGATGTCCTATTTGTGTTTTTCAGCATTTTCTCTGTTCTCATAGTTTATTCTTGTGTATATCTTATACAGCTGATTGAATACCTCAGTAATGACTCGGTCATGATTGAAGTGTGGGGTATACAGAAAGAAGAAGGTATGAAGACAGGGAGTGAAATCAAGAACACCAAGGATCTGATGCAGAGAGAGAAATCCACTTTAGCTCCTCCTGCAGCGGGTCAAAAGGTGAGCTATATTAAAATACCTTTCCAAAGTATTGTGTGTTTCTGAGTTTTATTTTTGGAAGTCAGGATCAGGCCTTAATTAAATCTCTGTCATCATCTGAAAGATATGCTGGGTTCTTTAGATGAAATTTTTTGTTTCTTGTTTAATATATTTTGTTGACGTATTATAATGATATGGATGTGAGTTTTGCTTGGGGACCTTAAAAACAGATAAAATAGCAATGAGTTCATTGTTTAAATTTTAATTTTTTAAAGACAGTTCTGTTAATATAGAATTGAAATGATGTCAACATTGTCACCGCATTCTTTTTATTTTTGTTTATGCATTTTCGTTGCAGACGCCTGCTCCTGCAAGTGGTGGTCAAAATGACAAACAACTAGCGGTGAGCATCTTACGTCATTTTTTCATTAAAAAAATTTCAAATAGAAGTTGAAGGATAGTTTTTCATTACGCAAGTCTAGACATTCATAAAGAGAAATTGTCTTGCTTACAAAAGAGCCTTTGTTAAACATTGTTTTTGGCTCACGGAGGTGGATAGACTAATTCAATTGACAGATTATTTTTTGCATATTCTTTTAATGGCTTTCATTATTACATATTATTGCAGGAAATGTTGAAGCTTAAAAATTATTCCTTTGGTAAGGCCTATCTTTCTCTATTTTATTTTTCCGCATAATGTATTGCAAACATCTCTGTAACAAGTGAAAAGGGATTGTCAATCTCTGATAACTTTTAGAAAAAGGCATTTGTTTTTAAAGTTTTAGATTAAGATTGAACTTGCAATCCTCTTTAGTGTTGCTCATTGAAAAGTTGGTTACATATTGTAGAAGTAAATCTGCTATTATTTTCTTTTCACACAGAATCAAATCCAAGAACAGCTGAAGAAAGCAAAGGCCAAGGGCATGAAGTCTGTGCCAGTAAGTATCTGTTGTATGAATCTGATTGTGGGCTTATATTTACTGAAAATGTGCAGATTTATTTCAGTCCTTTGCAAAAGGGTAAATAAAAGGGGGAAAGAGAATAGGAGACAATTTTGCTTTTGTTTAATTAAGAATCTAAGAATCAAAATAGGTCATTTTGAAAACATAGCTCTTGGTACAGTGGTAAGAGTAAAGAGGGAAGCAGAATGGTTTAAAAAAAACTGAGTTGGCACACTAAAGTAAATTTAAGACATTTCAAAGTCTCAGATTGCTTGCTTTTTCTCAAAATGACACCTGCAATGGTACAAGTGGACGAGCATCAAATATATTAATTGGTATACTATTAACATGACTACTATTACTACTATTAAAAGAGTTTCAAACTCTTGCTGGCATGTACATTGAGCCTTGATGTTAGATGTTACCTCTCTGATGGAAGTGGAAGGGATAGGAAAATAATTTAATGGTTTTTTTGGCGTGCTTGTTTTTTTGTTTTGTTTTTTAAATAATGACTGACCAGGCTGGTCCTTTACATATAACTGCTGTAGAAGCAAAATCTCTTCTCTAAGAGGAGACTGGCAATGCTCACTGTGTTCAAGGGAAAGGTCTTTTCATCCTATTCTCAAAGGAGATGAAACCTTTTCAAAAAGTGACACTTTTATCCCAAAGAATACACTGTTACACAGAGTAAAAGATCATTTGTTTGGTTTTAATGATTTACGGGCTACATTCAGAGTGTGTTGTGAACCTTAAAAGCTTATGCTCTCCTGGGCAGGGATATATCCCTTCCGCACTCTTGACTGCTCCCACTCCTTTGTTGTATACTATAATTTTGCTTTTATGCCATATGGACAGGGGAAGTACAAAATGAATGCTCAGTGTAAAACTCTGTAATATGTCACTTTTCAAAATTGTGCATGGTGGAGTTTTACACTAAAGCAGTTGAAATGTTCTACTCTCTTACCAGCAGCAACTCTCCTGTTGGTGGGTAACCACTCATACACCACAACCTTTTTAGTTAAAAGACAAATGTTCGTCAAACTTGTTATGTCTCCTGTTCGGCTGACTTTCATGTTGATGTATTGAGTAGGGTTTTGCCTAACAAAAAATAAACGCTACAGTGTAGACTCTGCCTTCGCAATGACTTATTTTTGTCTAGAATCATGTTGCAGCGTAAAAGAATGATGCAGAAAAAATAAAAGTTAAAGATTTGCATCCATGACAACACAAGCTGAGAGGCTAATCATCTCTCCTGTTTTTCCTTAATAAGCAATGAACAAAACAAGGACAAGAGAAAGTCTGTGCCATGCAAAAATGCAAGGATTTACAAAAAAATCTACAGAACAAGGAGTTATTAGGTCAGATGATAAGAGATAAGGTCGCCTACCACCTCTTGTTCATCTTGCTCAGATGAAATCGAATAATACTTTTGATGTAACCCTCTATTTTTATATTTGATGAAATAGAATTAACTGTTTCCATGGAAAACTCCATTTTTCAGATTGATGAGATAGAAGAAACTTTGGCCCGACTCACTGGGGCTGAGGCTCCACCTGCCAAGAAAGCCGGAGCAAAGGGAGGCAAAAGCACATCAAGAGCTTGTGTTCTTCAGTGATCTCAGTCTGATTGCAAAAAAAGACAAACAAATCTACTCAGAAAGATTCCCCTTGCATTTAATCTGTCAATTGTTGTTTCACAGTTTGTAGTAAGAAATCCCAGCTAGGGTCTTATCCTCTCCTGTTGCAGCCTTTTTACGTTATATTTTTACTCTTAAAATACAATTCCGTTTCAAGTAACAGCTGAGTAGGCTATATCACCAACCTCCCACATAATTGGAGCAGAAGAATCATAGCCTTGTTAAAAATGCATAGCCTTCCAATAAATAACAATCTCTATCGGTGGAAATTAATAAATTCATCATTATATGAGAGGTGTAAATCTCATGAAATTAAAGATGAATTTCACTTTATTTTCTATCGTCCATACTTTGTCCATCAAAGGAAATTTCCCCCAGCCTGACTCGGCCTAGTTACAGAAATATGCAATGTTTGACCCAAGATAAGAGATATTTTCACAACATGTACTTTTTCATTATGGAAACTTTATTTAACAAATGAGTGTTTTACATGACGTGATGTGGGCTAATGGCCTTCACACTGAATGAACTTACTTACTTACTCTTAAAAGTTGGCTGAAAGTTTAGATTTTAATGCTTATAGCCTTGGAGGCCTCATGTGCATTAAAAATATTTCATTTGACTTTAAAAATATTATTTTTTATAGACATTTCAGTATAGAGAAGGCACATTAAAAAGATGTTATAATATTGGTCTCACAGTGGCTGTCACAGGGGCTCTTGAAAAAAAGGGTTAGACAAAGAGTAGTTGTCACAATCTCGATAAATTCATGAAAGTAAAATAAAATTACAAGTCATTCTATTTACTTGAACTTGACAAGTAGTGAAAATTTTACTGCAGTTCTGAAAAAGGAAATTATGGTTTGTTTTTACGAGTAGTTTATCAAGACAAGGCACAATTCTTAGAGGGCATTTTCAGCAAAATTACCTGTTGTTCACAGGCAGTGGTTCTGTTGCTGACACTGTTTCTACATGTTTACATATGTACTGCCAGAGTGCAGTAAAAGTTTAAAGAGGAAATCTTGCATTTCTTGTACCTTACTCAAAAAATTAAATATAATTATGTCTTCTTTGAGTACTCAAGAGTTTACAGCATCTTTTGTTTTAATAGCTCGTGCTATTTTATTTTTATTGTTTACTCTCTGATTAATGTATATTTTATCTCCTGATGGGGTCATTTCTTTTACCTTCTTGTTCGATTTCGATACTTAATTAAGTAAATTATAATTTTCTGATCTATTCTTGCTTTGTACATATATATTATTTGTCAGTTTTGTTGCACCCTTCAGACTGCCTTTATCAGCACACCTGCTGTGTCTCTCCCTATTGCAGACTAAATGGATTATTATTGATGATATGGGCTGGAAAGAAAAAGAACAACTGAAAAACCTTGATTTTTGTAAGTGGGGTGAGTGAAAGATCTTTTGAGTATTTTGTTCTTGTCACCCATCTAGAAGAGTCTCTTTTTGATTTAAAGAAGAAGATATATGTATTCTATAATGGAACTGGTTATTTGAGACATCCCTTAAAGGCATGAAATAGTAACAGGCTTGATTTTCTTTGGCTTGTGTTCTTACAAAAGTCCTAGTACTAATGAAATCCTTTGTTGCATTATTGATTTGTAAAAAGTATTGTTAACAAAATTCTTGCCGGTGGAAGGAATTGGCACCCTCACCCCCCACTCTCTTCTAATGAAGACATTTTCGTTGCTGTGGGTTGCAAATGAAGGGGGGCTTGGAGGGTGGGAGGAACGTATTGATATTTTTGTTCAACTATATAGCTCTTTTGTGGGTTTATTCGTGTTAACATGTGTTTGTGGGTTAAATGATTATTTTGATATTGTTGATAAGTTCTTTGAACTGAAAATATCCTTTTATTTTTGTATATTTCCAAAAATCTTTTTGGTCCTCTTTTAATCTAACCTTGAAAAAAGTTGAATGAATATTACTTGTAATGTGTTCTTTATTTGAAGTGGAAAATTTGTTAACATATAAAGGCTTCAAGTTGATTCATCTATACTGAATTTACCAGATGTTCATCCGTCCCATATAATCAAAGTTTTTACAAATATGCCGTCCTTACATAGAATGTTATCATGTAAAGCTGTTGGTGTTTACTTTTGTTCTTTTATTGCTCTTTTGATATGAATGCTCTGGTATGTGATACACAATATATTCCAACAATGCTGAAAGGATTAAATACCTGTATATGTCTAATGCCTCTCTCAACACTGTATGGCAAGACCTCTGATTAAAAGTTCATCTTTGACGTGACTGAATTAGGTAGGTGGAAAACAAAAAAAGCTCCCCAAACCATCCAGGGTCAAGAAGGTTGTGCTAGGTTTTTTAACCAGGGTCATCCACATTATAGCCTAGCATGATGCAAACTGAGCTAATGGAGTTTCCACTAAGACGTATGTCTTCTTGTTAGGGATGAGGACTCTATGATTCTGTGTAATGAGTTAAGGATTCTTAAGCCTTACGTGCAGTCTCCTAAGCAGATAATTTAGAAGTTAAGTGTTGACCTGACAATCATAAGATTGTGATATTGGTTCCTAGTTTCAACAGTAGAGTTTCAATATCTAGGGAAGGGATCTCATAGTCATAGCCTTGCTAAGTTTATCCAGGTTCAAATAGGTATTTGGCAGACAACAAAGGTAGCATTTATATGAATGACGGCTGTTTGTTAGTCTGAATGGCAGCAAAGCTGTTTGTCTCCAAGGGATTGACTCGATGATGCCAGGGGTGTAAACATTGCTGGAACTTAAACTCACCAAGTGTTTAGACACATGCTTGAGCTTCTAATGGTTCCTTCTGTTACCAGACAACATTTGTAATGTTTGAATCAACAATGTGTATATTTCATATTAGAAGTGTCATTTTCTCCCTTATGTTTGTTGTAGCAAAATAATTTGTGTGTGTAAATCATTAAACCTTTTCTAAGTGTGTGATGAAGGAGGGATGGGATTGAACATGCTCTTTTTGTTGTGCTGATTTTTAAAAAAGCTATAGGACGCTTTTTCCTATCCCTGAGGCCTTTCCTACCATATCAAAACTTTGGTTTGCTATTTCTTTAGTGCCTTCTTGCTCAGAATGTTAATCTAATTTTTATATATGTGCCCTTATTTGAGCACTATATTTTTTCTGCTTTCTTTTTGTATTTACTCCAGAGTAAGTTTTTATTATCTTTGCTCTTCATGAACAATGTTACAGTCTTTTCTTTCTCTCGTCTGCAGTTTCTAATTTTGATCTTTAGACGCAGCTTTTTGCTCCCATGAGCTTTGCTTTTCCTGTAAAACTTTTTTCTAAAACAAAGGAAATAATTTCCTGCTTTAGTCTGATATATTGCTGAAAGCATGTCCATTAAGTTCAATTACTCGTAAGTACTGGTAAGTCCCTTTACTGCTGGTTAAGTTTTCTTTCCATATAGTACAATGATTGGATTCCTGCAGTTTTGTTTGCTGCCTTTGAATAGTGTCTTCTTACTCTCACCTTAGTCATCCTCCTTGGGTTTTTGTAAGGAGTTGTGATTCCAACTTTTTTTTTCTTCTGAAATCACAATGACTGTTGAGACTTGTTCCATTTTACAGTTGTTATCCTCAATGTTGTCAGATAATTCATGTGATATGTTTTATGGATGTTTTATACTTTCAGCTTTCTGAATTTTTAAAAGATTTCTTTCTACCCTGTGAACAGTTTGTCTGGCATACTTGACAGACAAATTGCAGAATATATTTTGGAGCTGCTTTTCCAATGTGTTCAAACTGAACGCCTGTGATCACTTTCTTATTAAGAATATTAAAAGTTTTTCTTTGAATAAAAGATAATTGTTTTTCTACATGTCATTTATTTTTTCTAATATAAACGTATAAACACTTAATTGGCGTCGGTGGCCTAGTGGTTAGGCTCTCGGACTCGCAACCGTAAGGTCCTGGGTTCGAATCCCGTCAGGGGCCCGATGTTATGTCCTTGGGAAAGGCACTTTACACAAATTTTCCTCACTTCACCCAGGTGGGAATGGGTACCCAGCTATAGACAGCAAAAGATCTTGTTAGTTTGTTAGTGTTTGAGCTCTTAATCAGCTGCTTGCACTGTACGCTTCCCGGGAAGCTGAGAATGTTTCGGAGTGTTCTATGGTCTGCTGGGGTAATAATATAGTGTAAAGCGCATAGAGCCTGCTGTTGAGCAGGGATATGCGCTATACAAATGCTATTTATTATTATTTATTTTTAATTTGTCTGTAAAAGTGATTTATCTGTAACTTTTTGTTGTTTAAAATAAAAGCCGATATTTGAACTTTTCCAGTGAAGGTGTTTAATCTATATAGTTGAAGGGACTATTGGAATGTACTGGTATGTTTGCAATAATCAAAACAAAATGTAATACATAACAATTTTTTCCAACTTAAACTTTTTGCCGTGTCTTTGGACAAGTACGTCTTGCCTCAGTTTGTGTGTAATGTTTAGTGAGTGTTAATTATTAATTGCTGGTCTTGAAAATCAGATCCTTATAATAATGTACAGAGCACGCAATTGTAAAATTTATAGTGTTGGTAGTTAAATTGTGAGCACTGGACATGCAACCCAATCCAGGTCTTGCCATTGTGTTCTAGGGCAAGCAAGACATGTTACATATATTTATTTTACAAAAACTTTGGGTGAAAATGGGTATCTGGCTAAAACAGGGAAACATCTTGTCAGGTTGTAAGTGTCTGAACATCTGTAAAATGACAATATGCGCTAAGTGCTTCATGGAAGCTGAAAATATTTTTTGAATGTTATGGGATCTGTGAAGAAAATTAAAAGTTATCGTAGTAATACATTGTTAAGTGAATAGAACCTACTTTTAAGCTGAGATATGCACCATATGCAATCTATGAACAGAAAGCCATATCTTGTAAGCAATATTGAATTTTTTCCCATCAACCAACTTTGGTCAACATGTGACCTGAATTTTCAATAAAGTTCCAGCCTAACTGTCATTTACGACATGAGTTGGCAAGAGTGTAGGCAGTTTGTGGATTGTACCATATTTAGTGTAAACATTTCACCAACCTTATATTAGTTCTCCAGTCGTTGTGAGCATCACTCCACAACCGAGTAAGTCAATTTCTGGATGTTTCTAGATAAAGCCCTAATTATTCGAATAACAAAGAACTCAAGGAACATCCTACAGTACAGTTTAACTCTGATTTGCTATCACTTCCTAGTTTTAATTGAAAAATAACAAGTGCCCAAGTCATGGTTCTTATTTGGGTGCTCTATTTTTCTTTGAGCTTCTCAAAACTTCTAAAAATGACTGAGGCATTTGTGGAATGAGATTATCATGTCAGTTCCTCTGTGACTTGTTTCATACATTTCCCTTATTTTTTTGAGCATATTACAAAGGTCTCCTGAACGGAAATAAAACTATGCATTCATATATATGCCAAGTGCTATTTCTTATTTTGACTTCTCTTCTTTCAAGATAACACAGAGAAAAGTTTTCACATTCCAAAAGAGTGTAGTTATATATTGATGTGCACATTTATGAACATATATCATGCATACAGTACAGGTAAGAAATTGTTGAAATCACCTTTATGTGACAAAACATTGGAGAAATAATTAGCACGGGAAGAATGATATTTCATGAATCTATACTCGTTTTTTATTTCCATTTTAATTCATCGCTGACTGCTGGCAGTTGTTATGGCTGTGATATCTTCTTTATCCATGTAAGATAGATAAGATAAGATAAGATAATACTTTATTAACCCAGAGGGAAATGTTAGAAGAATCAGGGCAAACGATACAGATTCAAGACCCATTTCAGATGTGTTCATGTTGTTATATACATTCAAACATGAGCTCGGAAGGTTCCAATACTGATTTGTAAATTTCAGTAGTGATTTTAAAAATCTGTAAAATGTTGTAGTAGTATAGTAGTAGTAGTAGTAGTAGTAGTAGTAGTAGTAGTAGTAGTAGTAGTAGTGGTAGTAGTAGTAGTAGTAGTAGTAGTAGTAGTAGTAGTAGTAGTAGTAGTTTACCTGTAGGATGTAGTCCACCTGAAGAGAGAACCTGGCACAGTGCAATTAAACGTACATGATAATGGTGCAATAGTATATGAATTTCTGGTTGTGCATTTGGATGAGCATGTGTACAACATCCCCTTCTCAGATACTTGTACTTCCTTTGTCTCCTTCAGAGTGTCTGGCAGCTGTTTTTTTATACTTGCATGTGACTCCATCCTCTTGTCTTGATAGTTCTAACAGAAAAAGAAAACCCTTGACAAGACGCCTGAAAGCTATTTTTACCTAAAGCTTATCCGACCAAAGTTATCATTC